TGGCCAAAATGCACTAGAAATCCACTTGAGATGCCGCATGCGACCAGAGATAGGCGTCCACAGTTTGCTCCGATAGCATGGGTTTAATCAAGGAGACGACCAGTGTAGGGAAGTCCTGAAATCTTCAAGCATAGAAATCAGAGCTTAAGCGCTCGGCTCAGTGATGCGGCAGTGTATGTGTTTCTAGGCCCTTGAGAATTATGCCTGGAGTGAAATGCACACAGGGACTGGAACCGAGTGAAATCGGTCAACCAGAAAGATAAGGAACGGATCTACGAGACAATGAAAGGATTCTGATTGGAGGCCCGAGTCGGATAAGCCCAGGTTGTAGTTGTTTATTCGAACTGACTACTCTAACTGAAAACGTCTTCGATTCATTTCCAAAACCTCCTCCCCCTCTTCTTCCTTGCGATCTATTTTCCTCTGGTTTATAAGAGATCCTTGATTCAAGCGTCTTCTTTTTGCTTGTCTTGCTGCATTTATGTTTTCTCCCGTTTTGATTAGGCAATGGGCAAAGTTATCACTAACACTGCCTTCTCTTAATCTCTCGTTATCAAAGTTTTTCCCCAAGGATGTCAATGGCCTCTCTAATCTTCCGTTTGTTTGTGCTTCTACTGTATGAGGTCCTTCTTTCTGTTGTCTTCCAATTGATCTGGTGTCCAATCTCTACGATGTGATCCGCTATATTTGCTTTCTAAATATCAATTTTCCTGCATAGCCTTTGAGGCTTTTAAAGTCGAATGCTGAGTTTTCTATAAGTTTCGCCAATACATTACTGTTCTCAGGCGCCGCGTGCTACGCCTAACGTTTCACGTGACTAGGAAGAGATTTGGGATCACAGAAATAGGGTAATGTAGCTAAATTGACTAATAATCCACTTGAGATGCAGCGGGCGCCCAGAGATGGATATACACAGTTTGTTCAGGGTACACGGGTTTAGGTGAGATAATGTGTGAAGGTAATGCGTAATATCCGTAAACATGGGAATCAGGGCCTAAGCGCTCTGCAGATTAGGCGACTTTGTACGTGATACTGAAGGCTTGAGAAATAGCAACCGGAGTAAAAGTACACTTGGATTGGAACCGAACAGAAAGATAAGAAACGGACCTACGGGCCCATGAGGCAGATCTGGATAGGAGACTAGAGCAGGATCAAACACTCGAAAGGGAAGGGGACAAGGCAAAAACAAGGTGCGGTGACGCCACAGTCAATTCGCCAAAAGGGCACATCTCTTGTGGAACATAAACATGTCAGAAATTTTGATAGGACGAGGACGAGACTAAAGGGTAGGAAATGAATTGAGGGACCAGAAGAGAAAGAGAAATTATAGCAAAACCGTTTTGACATAAAGTTGGTCAAGAGATTGACTTCCCTTGTTTCGTTGACGAGTTATAGTTTGGTGCTGAGAATGGCAAGACTATCTGATAAGGCCGACTACGATGTCGACGAAACGTCTAGTAATGTACCAAATCAATGTTCTGACCCCGGAAATTGTCATACTCCGGATAACGTTTCTTCCTCTATGCCTTCCTGCCAATAAGACCAAGTTTGTGAAAACAAGGTAAAGCAATTTTTCGTATATAAGTAAAGTTTTGATACTACCAGCACATCAGTTATATGAGATGTATTCACTATATTTCGTTTAAGGTGATGAACAATTGGTAGTAGAATTTTCCCACAATCATATGAGTAGAGCTGAAGTTTCCAATGAATTTCACAGAGCCTTGCTTTCCCAAAAGTTGTTCTCATTCAGGTTGGACTGCAGTTTCGACCTCGCGTAGGTCTTGTCAACACTCCCAGTGAGAGCCGAACCGTGACAGAGCAGCATGCGAGCTTGACACGTTAACCACTCGGCCATATTGCCACGATTGCCCTTGTGTCACAGAACAGATATGCATTTTAAGGAATGCCAGGCCTTTTCCAATATCACATACTTTGGTGGGATTGCCGATGAATATATCTCCTATAACTGATTTAATGGTAGTATTGAAACTCTACTTAGAGAACAACTTATGGGAAAGCAATGCTCTGTGGAATTCAATCGAAACGTCAGCTCTACTTATATCAGTGGGAAAATTTTACTATCAGTCCTTGATCATCTTAAATGAAATATGTTGAATACATCTCAGGTAAAACAACCCCTAATAAATAACGACTTAGCCCAAACAGATTATTCCCTATAGCAAAAGTAGCTAACAATTAGGCCATACACCAAGTGCTACAAGGACCATAGCTTTTATTAATGTGCATCTAACCTTAGTCTTTTGTGTATTCTAATAGTGAGTAGTAAAAGGCGCTATGTAAAGTGGTGCATATTTGTTAAAGAAATGCAAATACCTGCTATTAAGATGACTGATGAGTTAAAATTAAGTCAGCTTACCAGTGGAGGACCGTTTAGAAACCATTGAAGAGGCAGACGTGCCGGCCCCAGGCCAGGTTGGAGCTGACATAGATCCCACACTCCTGTAAACATTTTGGTCCGCGAGTCCAAATATGACACCCGACTGGGCTCCTGGTGGCTGAAAAGGCAAGCCGACACAAGGTTGGATTCCTGGGGTTGTCAACTGCTGAGGCAATGCCAGCAAACTGGAACTTGAGCCAAGAGATGTCTGGACTCCTCCGTAAGGGTGGCCGGATTCCGCAGTCGCGAATGCTGCAGCAGCAAGTGCATCATTGGTAGAAGAAGTATAAGTGAGGGAGGCTCCATATGAGACTAGTGGTGCTCCAGGACTCGATGTCAATGCTTCATTTTCAGAGAGGGCAGGGGTGTTGGAGCCGAACTGATGAACGGAGGCTATGCGCGACATCGCTAGCGGGGCATTGGATACAGCAGGAGAACCTAATTGAGGTCGAACTGATCGGCGTGTCATAGTAGAGGCAGCGACTCCACGTAAGCTACCCGAAACATGGGTTAAGGTCTCCATTTCTTCACTTAGCAAAGACGTATTTAGATACTTCTTCTCGGAATGCATTAGTCGCCAGAGTTGGTGTAGTGCTCTCAAATCCTCACGAAGTACCATGCCCTTTTGCACCGGATAATGGGGTTCAACGCTAAGCGCAAAATAAACGCAGAAAGATCAAAGAAATGTGCCAATCTCTCTGGAGAATTATTAGACACTCTTTTAGCAGATATAGAATATTATGTTAAGTTAAAGTTACGAATGAAATTGATGTTTACAATGATAAAGCCTTCTCCATCGTGAAGTTTTAGTCAAATATTAAAGAGCAAGAAAAGTTAAAAAAAGTGCTTCAAACGCAATATTTTCAAACAGTCTAAAGATAAAATTTTAATATCAGACCTTAAAAGCGTATAGCCCCGAGTAAGCCTCACTATGATTTCGTGGAGAAGTCGGGCTTCTGAAATCTAAGGTATGAACACCAAGATGATGTGGCCTTTTGTGTGGTCGTAGTCTACTTTCATTGAATAGAGGTTGTATGACCTTGTTTTCGTAACTTGGCCATATTTGTAGGAAGACTTAGAGAAACACACCTAGTCCGGAGTAAAATGTATGCATGATCATTTCCAAAGTCGGACCGTGGACGTGGTACATTACCAGACGTTTCTCCGGCATAATCACTGAGTCTCGCTATTCTTAGCACCGCACAACAACTCATCAAAGAGACAAGTGAAGACGATCCTTTGATCAAACGTGTGCTAGACAGTTGTGGTATCTTCCCTTCTGCCCTGGGCTATTCACATTTCCTATATCCTCCTATCACGCCTTCACTGTTACAATTTTTACCATGCCAATTTCGATGTAGTGTGGTGTGCTCTTTTGAGCGGCATTCATAAGAACCCTCCACACTCCACGTTGGCGTTCTCACCCCTTTCACCCTTGTGCTGGGAATGTTGATCAGTCTGCCATATTGTTACGCAGTCTCCTTTCTTAGCTCTTATCAGATTCTTTCTCATGCCCCGTATAATCCGTCTGCTATCTCCCTGGTTCATGTATTTCACTCAATTCCTGCCACCCCATCTCCGCTACTTGATGCGTTGTTACCCGTCCCCTGCATCTGGGTGACTAATTCAAGGCTAAAGCCTCTCAGTAAGCCTCATGGATAAGCCTTTACTACATGGACAACGTCTATGGTATAAACAGACCTACTGTCAGCCAACTAGCTCCAGTCTCCGCCACGTCTATGTTTCATAATTGTTGAGCTTACTTCCATTTCGAGTAGAGTGTTGGGTGAGTTTTCTTGACTCGTTAGCTTGAATTTTGTTGTGACAATGATAACTTGCATAAGATGTATTCACCCTATTTCGTTTAAGGTGATGAAGGACTGGTAGAAATAGAATTTTCCCACAAATGATATGAGTTGGCTGACGTTTCCATTGAATTTTTACATAGCTTTGCTTTCCCAAAAGTTGTTTTCATCCAGGGTGGACTGCAGTTTCGACCTCGCATTGGTCTTATCAACACCCTCAGCGAGACTCGAACCGTGA